CTCCACCCCCTCCCCCTCCTCCTCCTCCTCCTCCTCCTCCTCCTCCTCCTCCTCCTCCTGCGCCTCCTCCTCCTGCTCATCCTCCTCCTGCTCCTCCTCCTTCTCCTTCTCCTTCTCCTCCTCCTCTCTTCCTCCTCCTTCTCCTCCTGCGCCACTTCCTCCTCCCGCTCCCCCCGAAGACGGAGGCGCGTGGTCGGGAGGGCAGCGCCCCGAGAGGCCCCGAAGCCTCCGTGGGATCGAGGAAAGAACTTCGGCGACGCCGGCAAGCTCGACGACGAACGATCGGCGGCTCCTGCTCCTCCTCCTTTGCCTCCTCCTCCTCCTCCTCCTCCTGCCCCTCCTCCTCCTCCTCCTCCTGCCCCTCCTCCTCCTCCTCCTCCTCCTGCTCCTCCTCCCCCTCCTCCTCCTCCTCCTCCTCCTCCTCCTGCCCCTCCCTCCTCCTCCTCCTCCTCCTCCTCCTCCTCCTCCTCCTCCTCCTCCTCCTCCTCCTCCTCCTGCGCCTCCTCCTCCTCCTCCTCCTCCGTCCTCCGCCATCCTCCTCCCTCCTCCCTCCTCCTCCTGGCGACGACGGCGAGTTCGAAGACGACAGCGCTCGGCGGCGACAGCGGCGGCGGCGGCGGCCGCTGCCCAAGAAGCCTCCGAGAGCGTGCGCCGAAGAGCCGACCCGATACAAAACCGAAACATGCTGGGCATGTTTTCCACCACCACCACCACCATAAGTTGGAGGGGGGAAGGAGGTGGAGGACGAGAAGGAGGACGAGGACGAGGACGAGGACGAGGAGGAGGAGGAGGAGGAGGAGGAGGACTCCTTCCCCCTCCAACTTATGGTGGTGGTGGAAAACAGGCCCATCAAAGCGTCCCCGGGAGGCCACACCGTCAGGAGCCCTGGCCCATCTGAGCGGGAGCCTCCTGGGGGCAGGGGCGGGTGGCGCCACTGAGACACGGCCACTTGCGCCAACCAACGCCCACGATGATTACTCCGCAAAGCGCTGGCCAAGGAGGAGGTCACTGATAAGGTCGCACTGGAAGGCCCAAACACGCAACAAACGTCGTTCGAGGACACACGAAACTACTCCTGCGGAGGTCTCCGAAAGAGCTCTGGAGACCGCAGGAGGCGACATCGATCCTCGACCGTTCGTCGATCGCCGTCGTCCTCGCCGTCCTCATCGTCGAAGTCGCGTCGTCCCCCCGCAAGACTGACCCCAAGGGGCCCGTCCGGAGCTGCGATCCGAGAAGAGGTTCGAGGCGAAGCCAGCCGAGGCGACGAGGCCTTACCGCATCTCTTTCAGCATCCAATTACAGTCAAGCTGCTGCCGCAAGGAACGCAGCGTAAGGGGCGAAGAGGCTTTTCTGGCCACGGCGGGCCTGCGCCACAAACATATTCTTCGACGTAAATCTAAGGAACGGCCCGAAAACCCGAGCCCCTCCTGAGCCCAAAACGGTCCTTATGTCAACGCTCTTGTTGTACGATGCGAATGCTAATGCTAATGATGATGATGGCGATGATGATGGCGATAATGATGATGATGATGATGATGATGATGATGATGATGATGATGATGATGCTGATGATGATGATGGTGATGATGATGATGATGAGGAGGAGGAAGAGGAGGATGCTGATGATGCTGCTGCTGCTGATGTCTCTGGCGAGAGCATCCGATTGATAAGGCGCATCTTTCGCCGACGATTTCAAGGCCGTGGAGATGTCAACACACAGGGACTTAAACCATCTCTTTCAGCATCCCGTTTGTTCGAGGATGTGCCTGGCGAGAGCGCCACTTGTGATGATACGAAGATGCGAAGACTCCCGGGGCCGTGGCGACGAGGGCGCCCCGGAATGTCCCCTGAGGGAAGGAAGAAAGAGAGCGATCGAGCGAGCCACCAGTGCGGAGCACCCTCTGGGCCTATCTACGGCTAGGCGGGCGAGGCGGTGGCTTCTTTCTCTCTCTCTCTCTATGTATGTGTATAGGTAGCTGCGTTGAAAACGTACATGTGCTGCAACACAACAAAAGTTGGCGGCGCGCAGAGGGGGGTAGGGGGAGGGGGGAGGCTTGTGGTCGGCGTCCTCGTGTGTGTGTGTGTGTGTGCGTGCGTGCGTGCGTGCGCTGTGCAGCTGTGTTCGGCGGCAATTCATGGGAGCCTCCAGTACCATCTTGTCGGCTCTTGCAAGTCAACTCTGATCCACGATATTCGACGCTAGTCGAAGTTAACTTGACGCTAATCGACGCCAGTCAACGCTAACCCGGCGCTATCTCATCGACTTCCAAATGCTAATCGACGCCAGTCGACGCTAATCACGGAATAAGGAGGATACACTGGGTTCCCACGATTTGCTACCAACACTTGTGTGCGTGGGAGGTCCCAAACAGCAACAGAGCTTCATTCTCGTCGTCCGACCGCCGCGGCCGTCTCAAATCGCAGCCCGCTCCAGACCGCCCCCAAATAGTGTATCCGCACATTCCTGGGCAGGAGGAGGACGAGGAGGAGGAGGAAAGGGGCTATCGGGCCCAGATCGACGATCAGTGGGCGAATGGGGATCGATGCAGTCCCCCCTATGCCTACGCATCCCCCCTGTCGCTGCCTCTGACCAACCGTGGCGACGAGAGGGCCAGCGTTCCTGTTTGAAACACTACTTCGGGTTCTCTGCTGCAAGGGTGTCATCATCTATCTCCTATCTCCTTCGACCCCTCTAGAGGCCTCCTGAATGGAGTCGGAGTAGATTGGGTCGGGAGATCGCGCCGCATCGCCGATACATCGGCGATGCATCGGCCATGCATCGGCGATGCACCGGCGATGCATTGGCGACGTCGGCGTGAAGCAAGTGGGGCTGCACATCGAGCCGCATCGGCGATGCATCGGCGATGCGGCGCGATCCTCCGTCCCCATCTGCTACGAGACCTCATCTAGGAGGCCTAGACCATCTATCTATCTCTTAGGAAACGAATAAACGCCATAAACGTAAACTCTTGGCGCTCCGCGGAAATTTTTGGGATCCGCGCTTTGGCCTCCTTCCCTGGCGCGCGGAGCGCGCCAGGGGGCGGCGCCGGAGGCGCCGCAGGGGGGCCAATGCGTGGATCCAGGAGATCCGCGCGGAGCGCCAACAATCCATGCCCATGGCGTTTTTGGTTCTTCGACTCCTGCCTCCCTCGACCCATCCCTCCGATCCCATGCCGCCACCGCCGCCGCCGCCCGGCGCCGAGGCGCCTTCCGGACGCCCCGGCCGGCGACGACACGCTCGCGGGCGTCGCCGGCGCTAGCCCGCAGCGGCCCGCGGGCGTCTCCGGCGGGGCACAGCTGGGCGTCTCCGGCGGGGCGGCCTGGCGCTCGGTGCTGGCGTTAGGTCGGGCAGGCCCCCCTACAGGCGGACTCTGGAAGAAAAAGCAGCAGTAATCAAGACTCAAGACATACCCAAACTGGTCCAAAATCCGCCGCCCCCTGCTTGCAGGGGTGCACGGCGTGCTGGATGATTCAGGTTTTGGTTTTGGTTCTTTTTCTAAAAGAACTCCCCAGTGGGCTTCGGCCCGTCCCGCCGGCCACCCGTAAATCTCATAAAACCCATCTGTCAATGCCCAAAAACGGCCGTTTCGCTCGGGACATCCTCAAAAAATCGCGAAGATGGCCCAAGATGGCCTCCAAGTCCGCCCGAGATGGTCCAAGACGGCCTCCAAAACGGCCCAAGAGAGTCCAAGACGGCCCAAGACGGCCCAAGAGGCCCCCCAGAGGCCTCCCAGACGGCCCAAGAGGCCTCCAAGAGGTCCTCCAGGAGAGTCCGAAGAGGCCAAAATCATTGATTTTCCATTGGTTTTTGAAGGATTTTGGCATTTGCGCCTTTTCGGCTCTCCGACGGCTCAAGACGGCCCAAGAAGCCCCCAAGATCGCCCAAGAGGCCCCCAAGAGAGCCCCATGATGGCCCAAGTGGCCTCCAAGATGGCCCCTAGAGGGCCCCAAGAGGGCCCAAGAGGCCTCCAACACGCCCAAGATGGCCTCCCAGACGCCCAAGATGGCCTCCAAGACGGCCCTGGAGCATTCCAAGCGGGCCCCAAGTCGGCCCATAGAGGCCCCCCAAACGGCTTCCGACGGCTTCAGACGTGCCAGGAACCCACCAAGATGGCCGAAGTTGGCTCGAAGCTGGCCCGAGACGGCCCAAAAAGCCCCAAAGATCGCCCAAAGCTTGCCCAAGAGGCCTCCAAGACGGCCAAGATGACCTTCAAGATGCCCACGTGTTCCCCGAAGGCTTTCCAAACCGATTCGGGGAACACGTGGTCCGATAGCTTGGCAGGTCTGGCCTCAACGTTCGGCCACATAGGCGCTTCCAAAAAGGCAGGGGGCGGCGGTGATTCGCCGTAGGCGTCTTCGATAATCAAAAAGTCGTGCCCAGACTATTTTTGTTGAGAGGGACGTGCCCGACATAACGCTGGCGCCGCCGGCCCTCGATCCTCGATCCTCGCCGCCGCCACCCAAGATGGACCCAAGACCATCCCAAGTGGCCTCAAGACGGCCCAGACGGAGGGCCGAAGAGCACCAAATTCGCCGGCCCCCTGGGGATCCTCGGCGAGCGATCTCGAGACAAGTGCCCCTCCCCAAGCCCCTCCCTTGGGAACCCAGTCTGGCTAGCTTGGAAGGGGAGGTCCGGGCACGAATCTCGCTGTGCAATGCCCCCCTGGTCAAACGGTGATGATCACGAAGTGGCCCACGTTTACTCACGGACGGCCTCATGAGGCATGGGACAGCCCAGGAAACCCCCCAAACCCTCCCAGAGGGCTTGAAGAGGACCGCCGAGAGGGCCCCAACAGGCAACAGCCGTTCCAAACCCTCAGGGAACTCCTCGTCCTCCTCGTCCTCCTCGTCCTCCTCCTCCTCCTCCTCCTCCTCGTCCTCCTCGTCCTCCTCGTCCTCCTCGTCCTCCTCGTCCTCCTCCTCCTCCTCCTCCTCCTCGTCCTCCTCGTCCTCCTCGTCCTCCTCGTCCTCCTCGTCCTCCTCGTCCTCCCCGTCCTCCTCGTCCTCCTCGTCCTCCTCGTCCTCCTCGTCCTCCTCGTCCTCCTCCTCCTCCTCTTCGTCCTCCTCGTCCTCCTCCTCCTCGTCCTCCTGTCCTCCTCCTCCTCCTCCTCCTCCTCCTCCTCCTCCCCTCCCTCCTCCTCCTTCCCCCCTCTGATTATTAGTAATTTCTGTTATTTTTCTTATTCCTCGTCTTCTTCCTCTTCTTTTGCTCCCTTCTCCGCCTCCTCCCCCTCCCCCTCCCCCTCCCCCTCCCCTCCTCGTCCTCCTCCTCCTCCTCCTCCTCCTCCTCCTCCTCCTCCTCCTCCTCCTCCTCTTCCTCCTCCTCCTCCTCCTCCTCCTCCTCCTCCTCCTCCTCCTCCTCCTCCTCCTCCTCCTCCTCCCCCCTCCTGCTGCTGCACACGTTCATAGGGACGACCAGGGTCTCTGTGTCTTCATGCATACAGTTACATGCACTGGAGGTTGCTTACCCTCGACGGTTACAGGTTCTGGCACTCCAGAGCCCCAAGGTACGGGTCCAGAAGCACCAGGAAGGGACGCAGAAAAGACATGCCATCAACCTCAGAGCCGTCATTGAGGGGAATGCCTCGGCTTTGCAAACACGCGAAAACGGAGGCAGCAATCTGCTCTTGCAAAGAACGTGCGCTATACACTCGAGACGCCCGAGTATGCATGGGTTCGAGATTAATAGCAAGAAGAAGAGCAGGGTGGTCACTATGATAGTGTGGAAACCTATGAACAGCGAAATCCCTGAAGGCACCCTGTCCTTGTGCGCGATACAGGTGCGCAAACTCAGGCAAGGTGTCAATGAACATTTGGCCTTCAGGACATGCGGTATACTGCAGGACGAAACGCACACCCTGGCACGCACACGCACACGCTAACATCATGGATGTCCTGAGGCCCGAATTCGCTGTGTCACGCTTACGGGCGGAAGGCCCTGTTAACCATGGGAGGCCCCATGGGTGCTGCACTGTGCGATCTATACATGTATCATCGCAAACAATTGCAGCCACATGTCCTTGAAAGATTAGATCAAGGATCGAGTCAAACTTGTTATGTATGTGCTCTGAGTGAGGCGCAACATGCAAGGTGATGATATTGATGCCATTCACCCGTGCACGGATATCGATGAAGTGCTGGATATCAAAGTCATGGCGCGGCCGTGGCGTTATACGTATGATGAGCTTGGCCGCAGACTGAACATGGAGGGACGCTGGATCGGGGGCCATATGCTGGTCGCCGACTGCAATCTCAAATTGGTTTGCATCGAACTTCCGCATTGGCTGCACTCGAATACCTATTAAGGTTGGTCCTATGATACGGAATGGAGGAACTTCAGCGAAGGTAGCTGCACGTCCTCGCTTTGCCAGGGCTAGTGCCACAGTCCGATCCTCGTCTGCGAGAGTAGCAGTGCAGCTAGGAGGTAGGGGACGAAGCACACTAATCAGGCGAGGCAGACAGTATTTCGAACCATGTCGAAGATGACGCAGCAGTCGAATGCGCGCGTGTGGAGGCATCTTCCACAAGCAATGCAGTCTGAACTGAAAGCAAACTGGCTTGCAATGTCAGAAGTTGGGTGAGACTTCGTTCTATGTGCAGCCAGTGCAACTGCAGTGTTACCTACAAAGGCACAGTCATAACACACAAAACGGGTGTCCCTTGTTTGGTGCTGCGTGTGGGGAGGGATGGGGATACGCCCCTTGGAGCAGACTTTGCTAAAAGTATACTGAAACTTGTGGTGAGATTGTTCATCCAAAACACTGACAGGGCGGCATGTTCGGCTCGAGTGCAAAGTCGGAACCACTGTTTGGGGGACTCCTGGGCCGTGCGTATCCACCACATGAAGCCCCCTTGGGGCCTGTGTTCTTGGGGGAGGAGGATATATTGAGTCATCCATTCTATGTCCTGTTTCACAGCATTGCTCCACGTCCCTGCTATGTCGAACTGACCTTCGAGAAGCCGCGCAAGAATGGGTGACCCTGTCTGCGTGATCCTAGCCATGAGACGTAGCCGCCTAAGAGACACAATGTGCGAGGAGGGCAAGACTCTGGCACGACTGTGCACATCATGTTTCGGAAATTGGCGCATGTTGACATCATCCCAAGTCATCCTTGTGGCCGCCTTGCAAGCATGTGCATGGGCAGCCTCAAGGCGGTCTCTCGCCCGCTGTCCTAGCTGGGGCCAAGTCGAGCAATTATGAAAGAGATGTGAGGGTGCAATGGCCTTACAATATTTAATATGATGTGTGAGGTCCAGATCGGCACCCTTATGAACAATGCGTTGGATAGTTTGTCGGGCATCGCTGGCCCCCTGGGTTCTGGAGTGGATCTCAGGGCCCATAGAGAGGTCCGAGGGGAGCAGAAAACCGAGATACTTGCATTGCCGAGTGGGGTGTATCTGGATGTCATAATTTGTTATCTTGCGTGGGGCACAATTATCAGCATAAAAATCTGCTGCCTGCTTCTTGGATCCTTTTCCAGGCGAGAAATACATAGCTTCAGTCTTTCCTCTCTTGGAGTTTGGAACTAGACCTCTTTTTCTCGCATCTTCGTAGAAGGCAATGGTGGCGTCATCCAACGCCTGTGGCCATTGGTCGCGTATGTCTATGGCAACGAAGGTGACAAGATCATCAACATATGACAGACCTTGTGCAACTGGGGGGTTCTCACGCTCATGGGAGAGAAGCCTGTTATGATCACCAATGGGAGGGGCGCGTCGGAGCCAGCCCTTACTTGCCAAAGCTTGTGTGATCTCGTGCTGCACGGGCCAAAAGTTAAGTTTAAACAGAAGGTCTGCTAGGGGCATGCCTACTCTGGTACCTGTCTTGCCAAGGGCAGCGTCCTTGGCTCCTCCCACCTCGAACCAGGTGCCGTGTAGGCTATGTTGGATGCTTCTCCTAATGTGGGGATCATCGGCAACATCTAGAACAGCGGGCGCTGAGAGCAACATTTTGTTCGGCTCGAGGGGGCAAGGTGGAGTCTCGTTACTGCGCCAGACCTCTTCAACATCCCCGTCGTGCCCCGCTGGCATTAAACATTGCCTGGCCACTGAGTAGAATGCGTTCTTAAGATCACTGAAGAGGAGGAGGGCAGACTTTCTTTGTATTCTGCACGTGCTAATGAAACTCTGCGTCAACAGAATGGCGTGCTCAGTGCCTTTCTTCTTGAGGCCTCCTAGTTGGACCTCTCCAAGTAGTCCATCAGCCACGCGGGGAAGCATGGATCTCAGAAAGGCATGATGATGCTTGATGACAAGCGATCCAAGAAGGATCTGTCTATAGTCGGTATCGATCACTGATCCAGGGCCTGTCTTATAGACAGGCACATCTTGTCCTCCTTTGAGTGCGAGGGGTTCCTCTGAGAAGACAGACATGCGCAACAAGAGAAGATGCATGAGGCAACTGAACTCACTGGCCGCTACTCGTAAAAAAAGTCATTGCTGATGAGTTCTGGGCTGGTGGCTTTATGCTTCTTGCTGGTGAGGATATTGTTTTGGAGGCCGCGAACCGTGGCCGCCTGGGAAGAGGGAACTTGGTGAAAGGAAGGTGGCTTCTGATCTTTGTTATGCACAGCGCAGGGTTCCGAGCGGGGAAGGATCGGGGCGCGTTCGATGCCGGCAGAGGCTCTCAGGGCATCATTGTCCATATCCTCTTTGGTGCGGAGTGTGTTGCCATCTGGGGTTTTCCGGATCTGAAGTTGGCCGAGCTTGGTCTTTGACTTTTTCCCTTTCCAGCCTCCAGCGCGCCTCAGAATCCCTAGGGTCCCCCACTCCGCTTGAAATTCATTACCTGTTATATTGTCATTAAGTGTCTGGGCCTGCTTCTGTAGAAATTGCGCCCTGCTGTCGCGGAGAAGTCGCTGTAGGACCTTACGGGGCTGGGCAAGGAAGGAGGCGAGAGCAGAGATAACAGAGTCATGGGAAGCCTCACCTTGCGCATAGCAACCCACCTGGGGGAGCAAGGGAAGTAGGGGCATGATCCATTTCTCTTCGGGCAAGAGGGGGGGGGGGGGAATTCCGTTCATGAAGGTCATTCACAAGGGAATACAGGGCAGGAGCACTGTGTTGCCTGAGTGTTCTAAGAGCTCGTTGGATTCTCCTTCTGAAAGATGGCATCAACCAGTTGGGGAGTGACAAAGGGGGTCTTGGGTAAAGAGAGAGGCCGAAGAAAAAAAAGAGAAAGCATAATCCTTCTGGTCTCACTGCAGACGCCGTGGTAGTACTGGTTCATGTCAGTATCCCACCGCGGGATTGGCGCACTTGCTATGCGCTCTTGAAAGGTTACTTGATCATCGGAGGTTAGATCAGGAGGCAGGAAACAGGAAAGTGGTGTCCTTGCACCTTTGACAGCCGTCGTGTCCAAGACGGTGCTGACAGGCATGTGATCACTGGCGCCGCGCATGCCATCTACATCTGAAAGCACCCAGCAGTCTTGCACCATGGGCCAGAGCCGATCAGATATACAAATATAATCCTTGCGATGCTTAATCTGTTCACGCATACATAAGTATCTCTGGGGACTTGGGAGAACTAGGCGGCCGTTTTGGGGCTTTTCTTTGACATGTGTATGATGTATGTCCCCAGAAGAGATAAATGCGTTGATGGCCTTATGGTGCATGAAGAGAAGGGCATCATGAAACATACTTCCTGACTGATCTTGCTGCTCACGAAATCCATCAGGCCCGACAGCAGATGAGCACGCTGAGCCGCTGTGCGCATTAGCGTCACAGAAAAGAAGGTCGATTCCCCATTTCTCATGCACTTCCTTAACTCCTTCCCAAAACTCCTCCCTGGCCTCTTATCTGCAGCATGAGGGGCGTGAGCGACACAGACAACGAGCGCAAGGTGAGGGGCGTCAATCGCCACCACCAGCATGCGTGCAGACGCCTGGAGCGGGCGGCAGTGTCGCTCATGAACTTACATGGGATCGCCATCTTTGGTGCCGTATGGGCGATGGAGGGAAACCCAAAAAGAGAACACCGAATATTCCCTGAATCAGATTGGCTGTTAAAGGTAATGTATCCATTACGCGTGTCGCGGCTTTCATCAAGTCTCGCTTCTTGGGTGCTGGTTATGACCTGATTGTCGAGAGAAAACTGTTGTCGTAGGTGGAGTCCCCTATTGGTCGCGAGCCTTTGCTTGCCTTTAATGACCTCATCTTTGGCAGTGAGGGCATTGTGCGTTGTTACTTTAAGGGCGAGCCTAACGGTCTTGGGGTTTGACGAGGGGAGAGATGGAGTAGCAATCATTGCAGGATGACAAATCTGTGGTTTCCACTGGGCGCTGAAACATCCGTCCTTGCATGGTGGGTGGGCAGCCTTTCGCTCTGGCGTGGCGTCCCACCATCATTGCCACTTCCAAGAGCGGCCAGCCTCAAATAAGGTGCGAAGCTGCTCTGGGACATGAGCTTCAAAGGCCTGCGGCGCACGGACAAGAGAGTCACACACACAGCTCATTCCACGGATGAAAGTTATGGGAAGGGATGTGGTGGAAAGAGAAGAGACATTCTGCTGCGCACTCTGTCAAGCAAACCTAGCATGATGTCAGCAAGATTGGCCAGCTCATAGGAGACGCAAGTGCCTTCCGCGATACAGATGGCACTTAACGAATCCGTTCCACTGGATACTGCAGGATGCCAAGCCTTGGTGTGGGAGGCAAGGAGGAGCCAAGATAGGGACCATATGCATGCAGCAATCTCAGAGGCAGTGCTGCTAGGCTTGGCTGGTATGGCATCTTCTGGAATCGTGCGTTCTAGTAGGCCTTTACGATATACATTGAAACTGGCACCATCGTGGTCCATGAAACAAACCGTGAACGCCCACGCATCATCCTTTGGATGTTCTTCATAGTGCGACCCATCGGTGTATATGGCTACTTGATCTGTAAAGGATTCTTAGTATTCTTGTTATTATTATTGTTATTATTACTGTTATTATTATTATTCTTATTGTTCTCCTTCGTCGTCTTTTTCTGCTTATTATGCTTATTATGCTTCTTCTCCTTCTTCCTCCTCCTCCTTCTTCTTGTTCTTATTGTTATGATTATTCTTCTTCGTCTTATTATTCTTCTTCTTCTTCTTCTTCCTCTTCTTCCTCTTCCTCCTCTTCTTCCTCCTCCTCCTCCTCCTCCTCCTCCTCCTCCTCCTCCTCCTCCTCCTCCTCCTCCCCCATGGCGAACTTGGGAAGCCCAGGCCGCCGTTGCCGTGGCCGCGCCGTCCCCGTCGGCCGGGGCGGCGGGGAACACGAAGCGGCCCGCGGCCGCGCCGCCGACCGGCTGGGGCGGCGAGCCGAAAGTGTCCGGTCCTGGCGGGCCGAGAGGCCCAGCGGCGTACCTCGGGCCACGGCGGGCGGTCGCGCCGGCGACGACGACAACGACGGCGACGACGACTGCGAGGGCGACGACGACGACGACGGTGGCGGCGGCGACGACGACGACGGCGGCGGCGGGCGGCGGCAGCGGCGGCGGCGGCGGCGATGGCACCGACGGTGGCGACGGCGCCAGGAAGTGCACCTTGAAGGCCTGGTGGTGCTGACGCGGCCTGGAGAAGTCCTCCCTGGGGGCAAGATGCATCAAGGACCTCACGACTGACGATAGGGTTCATGCAAAAATGAATGATGGTCTGCAAGATGAATTCACCATGTACTTTCCCTGCAGTCTCACCGTCCAGATCCGCTGGGCAGCGCCAGCAGTACCTTGGTGATCTCCAGGAAGGCCTGCGCGTATCTCGCAAGATCCGCGCCAGCCAGCGTGCGATTCTGGAGTCCTGAACAACGACAAGCCACACGCCGTCTTGGTCGCTCCACCGCGGCTTGGGCTCCTTGAGCCGGCCATCGCGGAAGAACCGCTTCGGGAGGTCTGGAAATTGCTGCCGCGCCCGCGGCTGCCCACCCTGCGCCCAAATCGCACGCTCGGTCAGCTTCTTGTCGGGGGGCTCCCCAAGCCACCGATCGATCCTCGACCTCCATCTCCTGGGGCTCCTCCTGGACTTCCGTCCTCCCTTCCGCTTCCTGCGGCGCCGGCGCCGGCGGCGAGAAGCCGCCCCCACGGCTGTCGCCAGCCTGCTCTGGCCTCCGTGCCTCGTCGCCATCGTCGCCCTTCATGCTCACCGCCTGGATCTATTCCTTTCCCTCTTGCGCCCCCCGCCGCAGGGGCGCGGCAGCAGCAGCCTGCTCGCTGGCGGCCCCGCGCGCGCCGTCGCCACGCGGCGCTGCCACTGATCGCCGTGGCCACGGCCGCTGCAGCGGCTGCAGCGGTGCGGCGCGGTGCGCCTTCCTGCACGGCAGCGCGGACAGCGGCCTCCACCAGGGAGGCCGCCATCGCCACGTCGCCGGCGCCCACTGTCCCACCATGCCACACGCGCCGCCCGAGAGGGGGGGGAAGGGCCCGAGGGGGCCCGGCGCGCGCCCTCGATCCCGTGGCTCGTCTGACACCCTCGCGAAAGAAATATGTCGGCAAAGACGAACGCCTTCACGATGATCTCGCCTGACGGATGGGCCCCAAGCAGAGTAGGCAGGACCCTATATGAAACATGGGGTTGAAGGACCCCGTCGGCGCTTTGGCACCTGTGACCAGCACGGCCGTACCCATGATCCAAAAATTGTTGTTGAAGGCAATAATGCAGCACCGCCGCACCTGTAATCGAAAATGGTGGTCAGAAGTCCCCGTCGGCGCAATGGCATCTGTGATGAACACCGCCGTACCTGTGAACCAAAATTGCGGTTAAAGGTCCCGCTCTGCTAAAATAGGCTCGCCACAAGCACCACCGTACCTGTGAACCCAAATTGTGGCTAGAGGTCTCCGTCGGCACAATAGTACCTGTGACGAACACCTCCGTACCTGTGATCCAACATTGTGGTCCTGACATCTGCCGCCCATAGCAGCAGCAGCAGCAGCCCCCAGTCCACCTCCTTCCATCGTATTTCGCCCGTTGGCCATCCCAGGCGTCTTCGGACAGCGTCCTTGGGGCGGGCACGAAGCCGATCCCAGAACGGCTCGCCTTGACACTGCCACACCAAATGAGTAGTCGTAAACACAACGCCTGCGCACCACGGGCATTCCATCGAAAGGTCGTCGTCTTGGCTCCGCTAGAAAACGGCAAGCGACACAAGGCCTGCCGTGAGGATCGGTTGGATCGAAATGAACCCCAACATCGGGGATCTTCTGACCCAGGTCAATCCAGACCCGGGTCAGCAGGAAACCAAAAACTGCAATGCAAGAAAAAAAACTGCACCGCAGGTCTTCGCAGACCCGGGTCAGCCAATACGCGCGGCCGCCTCGGGGCCACGAGCGGCTCCCTAACCCGGGTCAGCCAGAGGGGGTCTTCGCAGGATCCTGCAGGATCTGGCGCCTTGGCTGACCCCCGTCTGTATTGACCCCCGTCTCAAGGCTCCCGACAACACGGTTGAGGGGGAACGCCGGGGGCGGACCAGCTCAGGGAGGGAAATATCGAGCTGGAATCGGCGATACATCGCCGATACATCGGCGATAGGTCCACGCTACCGAAGTCGCATCTCCTTGGGCCGGGTGGACTATATCGGGCCCCTATCGAAGACGAACGGGCGATTGGGGGTATGTGCATACCCCCTCGAGCCCGTCCCCCCCGACCGTTGTCCCTGAGAAGAGGGGGGAGGGAGAAAGCGAGCGAGACAGCGGCGACCCTCCCTACACTCTTCGCCCCGTCTAGATGAAGGGGCCCTAGAACACACGAATGAATAGACACAAACAACAGGATCCCCCATCTTTTCCCATAGTTTCTGGGTTTTCGTTCTCCACCCCACTTCCCATGTTTTCCCATATTTCCTGGGTGTCGACGATCAATTGTGTCTGTGTGTTGTTTCCCCTCCTGACTAGAGCTTTTCTCGTCGCCGCAGCTGGATCCGCCCAGAGGAACGGATCAGGATGGTGCTCCCGGGGACCAGTGCCGATGCGGATGTGGGCCAGGTGGGAGCGCCGCCGTCGTCTCGGCCGGCCCCCTTCGGGAGGGCATGGGGACGGAAGAGGGGCGACGGGAAGGGAGGGGGAGGGATGGGAGGGGGGGAGGCGAAGTGGGGGACGTGCTTTGGGGGGGAGGTGGGAGAGCGAGAGAGAGAGATGGAGAGCCCGCCTTGCCCCTCCTCTCGTCCAGGGTGCGAGGGAGGGGAGTGAGAAAACAGGCACCTCCTCCTTCTCGCCCACCACGCCACGTGTGGCCCTGGCCACTCCGGGCAGTTCCCCCTCTCCCTTGTCCCAGCCTCCACGCCCCGCCGCGATCGCAGCAGGTGGTGTCAAGTCGAGCAGCAGAGGTCCTCCGTGCCTCCGTCTCCGCCCCACGCGGCGGAAGAGAGACCGACAGCATCCAGCACCCCGACGGCGGCGGCAGCGACCCGGGCGGCGACGGCGGCAACGTTGACGGCGACGGCAGCGGCGACGCCGGCACCACCCCTGGGGCACTGGCAACTGTCCGAGGGCGTCAGGCTGGTCGCCTCGCTCTGCGGCTGCGTCACGAGCTCGGGGGAGGCCCTGCGGAGCCCAGCGAGAGGGGGGGGAAGAGGGGCAAGCAGTCGGCAGACTCGGACTCGCCGAATCTCGGGAGGCGGTTTTCGTGTGCGCGATGTTTTGCCCTATTTTTCCTCTCCTCCTCATCCTCCTGAAGCTCCTGAACCTCCTCCTCTCTCCTCTCTCTCTTCTCTCCTCTCTCCTCTCTCCTCCCCCCTCTCTCCTCTCTCCTCTCTCCTCTCTCCTCTCCCCTCTCTCCTCTCTCCTCCGTGCTCTCTCCTCTCTCCTCTCTCCTCTCTCCTCTCTCCTCTCTCCTCTCTCCTCTCTCCTCCCTCCTCCCTCCTCCCTCCTCCCTCCTCCCTCCTCGCTCCTCGCTCCTCGCCTCTCTCCTCCCTCCTCTCTCCTCCCTCCTCCCTCCTCCCTCCTCCCTCCTCTCCTCCCCTCCCTCTCCTCTCCTCCTCCTCCTCCTCCTCCTCCTCCTCCTCCTCCTCCTCCTCCTCCTCCTCCTCTCTGTTTAGCGCGCGCAGCCGCCGCCAGTGCACCACTCTGTCGGCGCACCCTCTCGCTCTGTTCTGCCCGCAAGGGTTGCGGGAGGCGCTCGGACTCCTCGAGACTCCGCGGGGCGGCCTGCACGGATCCGAGTCGAGGATTTCTCGGGCTGGCGCTGGGCCTGGACCTCCCTACCTGACGCGCGAGGCACCGAGCGCCGATCCAAGAAGTCCGCGCGGAGCTCAGGCGAATCGTGGTGATTCTGTCTGTTACTCTCGGGAGGAAGCGGAGGAAGAGCGAGGAGCTCCCTATCGCTCGCCCCCGTCGCCGCAGCCGACGTCTCTCGAAGCACTTCGGCACGTGAGCCGATGGGCATTCTCCGAGGGTGGTGGCGAGAGATGCAACGGCGACCGCTCGGCGATGCCAGTAGACAACGATAGTGGCTCCAACTCAAGCGCGCGTAAGTCGTAGCCTGCTCGTGCGCGAAGCGATCGGCCGCATGCCAACTCAGCTACCAATGACAACCCCCCAAATCAGCTGTGTGTCCATCTCTGACTTCCGATGCTCCGAGACGCCCTCAGAGGTCCCAAAGGTCGGCCCGGGGCGGCCCAGGAGGCTCCCAAGAGAGCCCCCAGCCGGCCCACGAGAGGCCGTCTTAGGCAGCCAGATACCAGGGAAGACGAGAACGGTTAATCATTGAAACACAGACGGGCGGCAATTTGTTTTTGCTGATTGAAGCCATCTGGGAGTTGCTCTTGAAGCCCTCTTGCAGCGTTTTGAAGGTCTCTTGGGCCGTCTTGGGGCCCTGGTCTTTCTTGGAGCGCTCTTGGGCCGTCTGGGGTCCCGTAGACTATCTTGGTTGCATCTGTAAGCGCTCTTGAACCATCTTGAGTCCTCTGGACTGGAAACGTACCCAACTTGGGACATCTCAGCCGAAAGAAGGAGCATTAGATGTCCTCCTCCTCCTCCTCGTCCTCCTCCTCATTGCCATGCAGGAGGTCTCCAAGTGTTCCCGGAGATCTCTGGAGATCATTCACCAGAAGCCTCTGGAGGCCCAACATTGGCGACAAAGCTGCTATCAACAAGTTTATCCTTGAAACTCGATTCTCCCTTCTCCGCCCGCCTCCTCCTCCTCCTGGAATTCTGGGTGGTTCTACTGTTTGTTTGCCACTGGAATCCTCCTCAGAGGTCTCCCGAGGCTCAAAAGCAGCCCTAGGTGTTCAAGCATCTCGAACTTGGATCCTCCTCCTCCTCCTCCTCCTCCTGAAGGTCTGGGTGGCTGTACAGGCCGTGCAGAGGAAGTCCGTAGAAACGAAAAGCAGAGCGGAAATTGAAATAGATCGAATCGGGTTTCGGTCGGACTCCCTTAGATATTTTGTTTGCCACTGGAATCCTCCGCAGAGGTCTCCCGAGGTTCAAAAGCAGCCCAAGGTGTTCAAGGATCTCGAGCCTGGATCCTGCTCCCTCCTCCTCCTCCTCCTGCTCCTCCTCCTCCTCCTCCTGCTCCCGTCTCCTGAAGGTCTGGTGAGAAGGGGCGGGCCTTCTCAGAAGGCTCGGGAGTCCCCAGGCCTTCTGAGAAGTCTTCTTACACCCTCCCCGGCGACGCAGAGAACGCCTCGGCAGGCCGGAGGGCCTCTGAGAAGCCCCGCCCCCTGCTGAGAAGACCCTCTGCCTCTCGCTTCCCCCCCCCCTTCACTCGCCGCCGACAGACCCCCGACGCCGTGATGTTTCGCCACGTGTACTCCCCGAGGCCTCGACCCCCTTCACAGGGCGGGCTGTCCATCCTGAGCGGCTTCCGACGGCCCCATGGGGGCCGCTGCAACGGCCTCCGGAGCCCGAGCACGGCGCAGCGCCCTCCGCCCCGATGCTCTGTTGCCACGACGCGATTTTGTCTGCATGACTGGCCCGTGGGGTTCTTCACCACCGCTCGGCGCCGCTCCGCGGCGACGGGGAGAGAATGAGAAGGGGTGCCGACATGCGTCCACAAGGACGGCCCTGTGCTACGGGAGCATGGTTGGGCTGGAGTTCGGGATACACTTTGGATCCCCGCGTATGATTCGTGAGCGGTAAAGCTGACGGAGGAGAGAGGGCTACGACGACGATAGGAGAAGAAACAACAGCATAAACAAAACCTTTCGGAGGTCTGCGCGGATTTCTTTGAGGTGCGATGGGACACCCTTCCTAGCTGGCGCGCAGAGCGTGCCAGTGGCGGCACCGGAGGCGCCGCCAGGGGGGCCCAGCGCAGATCCAAGAAATCCGCCCGGAGCTCCGAAAGATGATTGTGTTTAGAAAGGTTTTCTTCTGAGGGGCGAAAGAGCAGGGCACGGTACAATGAGCAGGGGGGGCCACTGGAGGGGGAGGCCGCCTCTGCCGCCGCCGCCGCCGCCGCCGCGCCGCCGCCACCGCCGCCGCCGCGCCGCCGCCGCCGGCGTCGCCGTCACTATCGTCTTGGGGTTCCTGGAGGGTGGCTCGCATACGCCCTCGCTGTCGCCCGTCGGGCAGGGCTGCGGGATGCCGTCTGCGACGGCGCCGTCGCCGCCTCCGCCGGGGGGGCTCGAGGATATCGAGGCTGGGCAGGCCAAGAGGCCCTCGAGAGAAGAGAACAACATTTCCTTCCGCAAGCTTGGCACGTTTTGACACACGTAGTGGCCTCTGGCCTCCGCAGGCCCAAGACGGCCCACCCAGCCCTCGAGACGGGAGGCAGAGCAAACTGCTCAGCCTCGCATGGCAATCCTGGCGCCTGTGGTGCACAGCCGCGGCGCTGGGGGAGGGGAGGATCGCTCGGCCCGAGGGGCGGCGGGAGGCCTCTCCGAGGGTCGATCCGCTCGAGGGGCGGCGGGAGGCCTCTTCGAGGGTCGATCGGCTCGAGGGGCGGAGGGAGGCCTCTTCGAGGATCGATCGGCTCGAGGGCGAGGCCCGAGGCTGTTCGCTCCACCCTGGGCCTCCGAGAGGCCCCTCGTCGCCCCAACACCCTGTGACTCATCGAGCTCTATTTTAAAGCTCAAAACGCTCTAGATTTTATAAGTTTTAAATTTAAAGCTTTTTGTGTGTTGCTCATGTTGCGGTTTGCGTGCGTTGTTGCGTTTTCAGCTGACTTGAGCGAATATTTCCGTCGCGTGCAACGGTATCGTAACTTGATGGCGTTGACGCTTTGATCGACATGGCTTGAGCCCAAATCGCAACGGGTAATACAAAGAAAAACTGCGGAGGATGCGGGTCGACAGGAATAAGGGCAGGAGGAACAATATGAAAAAGGAGGAGGAGAAGGAGGAGGAGGAATATCAAAAAGAGGAAAGCACAGAGGGAGGATGATGTGGAGGAAGAGGGAGCATACGGTGGAGGAAGAGGAGGTGAGGAGGGATTATTATATGTCAGTTATGCTCAACAACGGCACTCTATGACCTGCGCCTGGACCAAGAGAAATTACCCAGGACACAAGTTCCCCCCCCCCCCCCCCTGGTACGGGCAAAGAGGGGGGGGTAAAGCTTTGTGAATCTCCACATACTTACACCACTTTCGTGCCCCAAGAGGCCTCCCACGAGTTCCCCTGGAGGGCGCGAAAACCACCTACATCAGATCACGGAATGAAAATATGAGCTAATCGCGACCTCGGTGGGTGTTCTAAGCGATTGCTGGTTTTAGGAGCTTGTTCCAGATATTGGGGTTCGGCGGCGGGGCGCTGGAAAGCGTTGGAGATAAATTAAACCATCGGATGGAAGCGAGGCGGACGCCGTTTTCAGAGGCGCACTTGGGCGCCACACCAGTCCAACAAAATCTTAAGAGTCGAGTGGTCGCTTCCGAAACGACATTCTAATCTGAAGGAGCCTTTTCATGCTTGACAGTACGCTGATTTCAAATGTGGACTGTGAAACGTTCCTGCAACAACCCTTCAAGGTTTTGTTCAGGTCCTCGTCCTCCAGGCTGCGTAGAAACGCGGATTGCCAAAAAAATGGCACACGTCTGAGCATGTGTAGCGTCAGGTGCCGTTTCGGCAACATCAGCTCGTCGTATTTCTCAGTCAAGTCTAGAAAAGTACGGTAGTGTCGCCAACACGCGTCCACCGCCGCATCTGACATCTGAATGCCACTCGTATCAAAGAGAAGTGCCATGTCCCGCAATGCCGTCGCTGCCTCCAGTAGCCGACCCCCCTCGGGGCCAAGCTTCCAGAGGTGATGCGGCAGCTCGTCTACTAGAAAACATAAGAGTCCCCAGGTTTCGGCACCTTTTGTTTTAAGCTTCTGGTCCGATGGGTCACCAACCATTTTTCTCGTTATGTTGGAAATCCGAGTCAACGTCTCGCCTGGGAACTCTTTTGCACGCCGTTTATACCAATTGGTAATGGCATTGCGGAAGGTAAGGATTGCAATGCCAATGATTTCGTCTTGGGTACCATGACCGCCCCAAGCGCCGCTGAGAATTAGCTTCCACACTACCAGCTCGCAGAAAGAAAGAAACACTCCGAGATATAATGTGTGGAGCGAATCGGGCGTCAACGTTCGCCATGCAGTAATTCCCAGCTCTGTGCTGAAGAGCGGATTCCTGTGGCGTGTCAACGTCTCCCTCGATTGGCGCCAGAACACTATGCGTTTGACGGTGGACAAATCAAGCTGCTCGAACTTCCCCACGTCTGGGAGGTCTGGGCACGGCTCCAGCCGATCGTCTCGCTCCAGCTCCAGCAGAGGTACCGGGTTCTCCAGTGCGCGACCGTGACTGCCAGCTGGCCGTTTGTCATAACGCAGCTTGCCCACATCGAGTATAAGTTGCCTGAGATGGGGGGTCAGCGGAATAATGATTTCACAACGGCTGCATGCATCGCCGCACTCGTGCTCCAAGTTCTCCCTGTGGGGGGAACCCGTGCGACAAGCGCCAGCAACGCGGTGCATCCCAGCACCGTGAGCATTGCAGCTGTAGCACGGCCGCGCTATATCAGACCACGTTGGCAAGCCTATTGTTCCAGCGTGTTCGGCCCAGTCCCCCTTGATAAAGAGCAAGCATGAACGCATGGCGAGCGCGGTGCCCGCGCGCCCTCGTCTCTGAGTGTCAGACTCGACCCACGCTTCGCCGTCGTGTCGCTTCTCAGGGTAGCGCTTGTCGGCCATGGCCGCAAATGACCATCGTAGAAACGACATTAACACTGATATCGAACACCAGCCCCTGCAACCGCATCGGCAGAGAGACTTCTTGCGGAGAACCGCAACGAGGTGCCGTGCCCCATCAACGAAGCACTCCACCCACACGCCGATGACGCTGTTGGTGTGCGAATACGGAACGCCATCCAGGTACAGACACAGAGGCCGAACGGGGTCATCGCGACTACCATGCCTCACTACAACAGGGTGCTGGGCATACGAATTGGGCAGCTCATTGCTGTCGATTGCTTCTCTCAGGGAGGTTCGGGCGTGTGGGCCCGCGCCGACATCGAGCTGTTCATGCGGCGCAAAAACTGGCACCTGTCGAACCGATCGTGCCAACGACGAGTTGTCGAAGCATGGCAGGCTCAATAAATACATCTCGTCACGGTCCTGGGTTCTGCCGATGTGATCGTTTATTTTTCGTTGTTCGTTGCCGCTGTGAGAGCCAGGCTTCGTGCCTAGCTTGGCGGCCTTGTCAATGCCAGCAATGCCAGCGTAGTACACTAGCGAACAAAACTGGGTTGCGCTCAACTCGCGTGCCAACAACAACTCTGTACAAAACTCAATGAACATGTCAACTGGGTCGTCGTCGTTGTCGCCACAGTCGGAGCTGTCTGGCAGCGCCTCGTCGGCAGCCATGGCGCCGAGCTGGTCCTCCCATGAGTGCGCCGATGGGGCACCGTCGGCGCGCGTCGGCTGGTCATCCCAAGAATGCAATGGCATCAACGCCAGGCGCAAATTAGATAGCGGCGTTGCTGAAACGCGACGCGCTTGAGCCAAAATGGCTACGGTGAGCGGAACGCACGAGTGCCATGGGGACTCGGGGCGGGATGGCATCGCATGGGCGGACATATAGATGAGGGAACGTAGGGGAGCGAGGAGGGGGTGCAAGGGTTCAAGGGCTCACGGTACCACAGTTGCTTGTGGCCGACCCCGTCCCATATCCCTGCAGGCGAAATTTGATTCGGAGCAGGGTCAAATCAACATCAATACATACATGTAGTATTAGCACGAGCCCTGGAAACAGCCACGAGGCCACACAGGCCGAATGAGGTCGCAAGGGTTGACGGGCCACAGAGGCCACAAAGGGGGCCACACGGGCCAGAAAGGGGACTGCGACGACGACGACGACGACGCATGCGAGGACCATTGGATTCCCCGACGACGACGACGACGACGACGACGGAGACGAAGACGAAGACAACGACGACGCCGACACCGACGCCGACGACTTGCTATGCGCGGCCTGTGCCTTTTGGCGGAAGGGGCGAAAGCCCTAGTGGAACAACGCAACGGTGGGCCCCATGGGAACTCCAGGCACCTCGAGCAGAGTGGGAAACCCTTGGGCCATGGGAGGCCCTGGACCCTGGAACCCTGGGGCCCCCGAACCACGTGTAACTCCAGCACACTCCTCACGCAGATCGCGGGGTCTGGCGGAAAGGGGGGGCGCCGAAGGCGTTGAGAGAATGGGGGCAAGAGCCTGGCCAGGACCCCGCGCCGTTCCCGCAGGTGCTCGACCCCGCCCCATTGGTGCACCTACGGTGGGAACGGGGTGGGCGCGCCGTCCGACTCGGAGCAGCGGCCGCGCAAGCAGGCACCAGCCCAGCAAGGAGGATGAGGAGGTGCAGGCTACGTCGTCCGATCCAAGACCGTGCGCACTCATGCTTACAAACGCCTTGTATGCAGCGCGTGTCGTAGCGCCACGTGTCGCTATCCTCATCGTACTCCTCCTCCTCCTCCCCTCTCTTTCTCCTCCCCCTCCTTCGGGCGGTTGATTTGCTTTCGGCTGAGTTGCGTTAGTTTCATCGGCGTTGCTGTCGCTCCAGTCTCGGCCCCGATCCCCGTCCAGATCGATCTGTTTCAATTCGGGTTAATGCCCGCCCCCTCGTTGCCGCCGAGCCCTGGAAACTGCAGCGCCGTTTCGTTTTTAGAAGGTCAAGGGGGGGATGCTGAATGCGCGCGCCCGTCGGCCACGACCCCTCTCAGGAATTCAAGATACACAAGGGTGAGAGGCAGCAGGCTCACGGAGGAAGAGGAGGAGCACCAGTGGGATTACGGTTTGTCAGATGTCATGCTCTCGCGCGAGAAATCGAGCAGCGCCCCCCGTGTCGCGAGCCACGCCGGGGCCAAATCTCAAATTCTGAGCCGGCAGGGCCGGGGGAGCTCGCGATTTTCAGAGTCATCAAAAGTCATCCGAAAGTCATCTGAAAGTCATCTGGATGACTTCGCCAAACCTCGATACATTGCGCAACTTTGACCAAAAGTCATCCAAAAGTCATCTCAAAGTCATCTCTGAAAACCTGACGGCAAAATCAAAATCCATGGTCTGGCGTGAAGTCCCAGCTCGAGTCGGACCCGAACTGCGTCAATGCGCGTCGAATCTTGACCGAACTCGCCCAAACCAGCT